GGCCCTGCGGGCGCGCGTGGACCCTGGGCCTGGCTCTGCGGCCGGCCGGGGGCCGCCGCCTGCGTCGTGGCGCGGGTGAAGGGCTTACATCCAGTGCCACGCCCGCAGCCTGTGGCCGCTGGACCTGCCCCGGAGGCGCCACCCTGAGCCGCCACTCTGAGCCGCCTCTCCTCTTCCGAGCTGTCTCCACGTCACCGAGTGCCAGTTACCCGCTGTATTTTCTCCCAGTACCTCAGTGTGAAAGCAAACCGGCTTCTCACACTGGACTCAAGCTGTTTTTGCAAAACAAATTAAGAAAAAGTGTTTTTGACCCCCAGCGAGTCTGAGTTCTGTGAGTAGGCCAGAATTGGGGCTTACATCTGCAGCCTTGGGCTGCACAGGATCTGAGGCAAAGGGCTCTCCCCTCTGTCCTCCCTGCTTGTAAGACAACCCTCCTTAAGATTAAATCTAGAACTTTATGCCCCAGCGGGCATAATTCAGCTTTTCACTCTCACCCCAGACCCAAGAGTCCCCAACTCTAGTACAGGAGATTCTTCTGGGAGAACTGTCATGCTTTTCCTAGTGGGTAACGCCATGGGTTGGAAGGACATGCAAAATCCTTCCCTGACAAACTAGCTCAGGGTGAGTAAACATGACAGGTCTTGGAATCATCTCCCATGCCTAAGTAGGCCCCACACTTTCCCATGGATTCACCTGCACTTACCTCTACCACTGTAGGAAGTCTTCTGGTGCCTGGCATCGCTGGGCAATTGGAGTGTTGTCATTCCCCCTGCCCCATATCCACCCTTCATCTGCCTTGGTTTTCATTTTCCCCAGGTCCCAGGTGCATACACCTTCACCAGGTGTTGGGACGATGGCAGCCCTAGGGGACCTTGAGGAATCCCTACCTGTCCCATCCCCCACCAGCCTCTCGTCACCTGGAACACCTGAAGCCCAGCACCACGAAGCACAGCTTCATCTCCGTAGGCATCCACACGGTACTCGCCTGGCCCACTGTGCCCCCTTTGCCCTGTCTGTACCCAGTGGATCCCCATCTGATCCACAGCCCCACCCCACCTGAGAGGGACCACCAGACACTTGTGCAGTTCATTATATATGCTAGGGCCTCTGGCCAGAGCCCTAAAGATGCTGGGCCCAGGCCTCCATGGTTGGGGGGGGATGATAAGCTTTCCTCAGGGACAGCCCCCTGGACTGTTCCTTCCTGGGATGGAAGGAACAGTGGCCCTGTATAACTAGGAATGAGCCCTCCCTGCCAAGAACCTAGGCTGGTTTGGGTGTGGTCTCAGAGGGACCTGCCAGGATGGAGTGACTGGCGGTGCTCCACCCTGATGGTATGGCCTCATTGGTCACTTGGCAGAATCAAGGCTTGTGGGGGATACCAGCCCTCTAGTGCCCCTAGGGCCTCTAGATCTCAGAAATCAGGAAGGGCCCCTGGATCTCAGAAATCAGGAAGTCCTAAGGCTTTGGGTCTTTGTCATGTAGGAGGCCTCACTGCTCTGAGGAGCTGGTGACATCAAGGATAGGGTCCCAAAAGGACATGTCCTCGCAGCATGCACTGCTGTTGTAGAGAGCACTTTGCCCGGGAGCTGGGCCTGCCCTGTGCCCAGGTCTTGGCTGACAGATCCTGGTATTCCTGCACCTGAGGTCGTGGCCGCTGGAGCTATGCAGAAGGGCTACCATCTGTGTCTGTGCCAGGCTCTGTGTAGTGACTTCCTTAGCCTTCAAGCCCAGTGACAGCCTTTCAGGTGGACACCACAGATAAGGCCAGAGCGGTCACGCACAGCTAGGGAATCGCTGAGTTCATCACGAGTCAGGCCAAAACTAGAAGTGAAGCCCCAAGCCTGTCTCCTGCCTGGCTCCAAGACACCTGCCCCTGCCCATCCCTGGGAGAATGCTGGGAAAGAACTTCTTGAAGTCATCTTTGGGATCCCAGTAAGCAAGGCTGGGGGAGGGGTGGATGGAATGTGAGTTTCACTATCTGCAAAGTCCTGTGTAGAGATGCCAATATCACCATCTGTCTCCCCTCCCTGATAGCCCCTGGACCTCCTCAGGCACCCCAACCTGTGCCCCTGGGGCTTGCTCCCCCACCCTTACTTATTCAGAATTCTGTTGCTACACAGCAACTTCTTATGTCACCCTCGCAGGACTCCTGTCCTGCTGGCAACAGAAACATGAAGGGACAGAAGTAGAGTCTAGGGTTAGAGGTGTGGTTGCTGGTTAGGGAGACTACAGCCAAGGTCTGGAGGAGCCCCTCGCCCAGATAGGTTGGCAGCCTCTGCTGATTCCTCGTCAACAAGGGCAGCGCCTCTTCTTGGAGCCCCAAGCTTATCTCTGCAAGCTGGTTCCTTAGCAGAGAAGACCCCAGTGCTTCATGGAACCTGCCCAGAGTTCCCCCACCAGTAATGGGCCAATGGAGGACTTTTTGGAGCCCCAACTTCCCTGTTCCCAGGCCAGTCTGAAATGACCAGAAGGAGGAGGTTCTAGGAAGGCCTACCCAGAATTTTTGCATGTGTTCCAGCGATCTACAGAGCCCACTGTACACACGCACACATACCATACACACACACACACACACACACAGTCACTTTAGGAGCCTCTTCAGCTGGGTACCTGGTGTCCTTGAAGGAGGAGCTGTCTGTCAGCTGGGAGTAAGAGCATGGAGTACTAAATGAGCCAGTGGGCATAAGATTAGTGTCCTCTCAGAGCAGGAGTGGTAGGTAGAGGGGCAAACAGGACATGGCCCTGTCCTTGTGGGATCCCCTGATATACAGATCAGGAGCCATAGTTAGCCATGGAGTGCTGAGGGCCTGGAACAGCTCCTCTGGGACTGTGTTGTACCTTGACATAGGGGCAGTAGAGGACAGCTGGGCCTGTTGACCAGAGTCTTGGGATAGGTGCAGGACCACAGGCAGCAAGAAGGACGATGAGGTGGGAAGGAGGCCAAGACAGAGACCACCAAGATAACAGCTAACACAGTGAGCAGTGGACCTGCCTAAGACTTCCCAGTCATTGTGTAAGACCTGAAGGAGGGTGGGCTTTCAAAGCCAGGTCCTCAGGAGGGCTTCCTGGGGACAGCTCTTGATATGAACTGGGGAGGAAATGAAAGGTGCTCCTGGCCAAGGAGGCCAGGACAGCAGGACAAGTACAGCTGAACTGCTGTTCAGGGGCAAGGCGCGGTACCGGGCAAGTGAGGTGGTATGCTGTGTGTTGAGGGCTTTGCCCAGAATCCCATCGGAGAGCTGGGCTGGTTCTAGATGGGGGGAAAAGGAAGGGTATTCTGAAGGATGGGGCATGAGCCACAGTTTGCCTGTCCCCAGGCTCACCTTATTCCAGCCCTGAGGTGTGCTCCCAGCCATCAGACCTGGACCTCCAGGATGTAGAGGAGGTGGAGATCGGCAGAGACACGTGGCCTGGTAAGTGAACTAGACCGAACCAGGCACCTCCAGAGCTGCTTAAGCCAAGACTTAGATACACAGGAGCTGGTGGGGTCTGCAGGTTGCTAGACACGCCCAGTGCTACCCAGGCCCTTCGCGTTCCTGGCTGCAGTGCACACCTGCCTCTAGGAGGGTCCAGGTGGGCAAGGGAGTGAGGCTACAGTGCCATTACTATCAAGTCCAGGTCTGTGGAGCTCTGGAGCAGGTGTGGGCCTGCTCTTGCCAGGGAAGTGCTTATTCTACTGAGCCATCTCCCCGGCCCTAAGACCACTTTTGAGAGCCTTTGAAATTCCAGATCCTTGCCAGCCCTTACTGTTAACCCTGGAGCTTCTCCCAGCTAAGAAGATGACACCACAGGTCTCCTTAACCACTGTCTCCAGCTCTAGGGAAGCCCTGCTAGCACACAGGCTCAGGCTGCCAGTTGATGGGTGCTGCTCCCCAGCTTGTGGGGAGCATTCATCTAAGCCATTGCCTGACACCCCTCTCCTCCTTCCCAAGTCCCTGGTGCAGCAGCCCCTGCTCTGCTATCATATAGTCCCTGTCCCTAGAGTGCCACAGTAGAACTGGGGACTGGGTGCCATCTGCCTCTGCCATTTCTCCTTTCAGACTCTGAGTTGGAGCCTGAGCAGGCTCCATCCTCTCATCACCTGCATGGTCCAGAAGACAGGGTAGACCCAGATGACAAAGTGCTTAGGGGTCTCCTGAGGAGCCACCGCCACATGCCCAATTGTGGGAGCAGCTTTGGGCAGGATTCCAGCTTGGAGCCCGCAGGGGCCCTGCCCTGCCCTCCGCAGAGGGGCACCTGCCATGTAGTACTCCTGCCACAGGGCGCCCCAGGAACCGAGGGTGCCCCTGGCCGGGCTACAGAGCTGGGGGACAGCTTGGGCCGTGGCCCCCACCAGCTCGCCCTGAGGGGCACCAAGCCACATCGCTGCGAGGCCTGCGGCAAGAGCTTCAAGTACAACTCCCTGCTCCTGAAGCACCAGCGCATCCACACAGGCGAGAAGCCCTACGCCTGCCATGAGTGCGGCAAGCGCTTTCGCGGCTGGTCTGGGTTCATCCAGCACCATCGCATCCACACAGGCGAGAAGCCCTACGAGTGTGGCCAGTGTGGCCGTGCCTTCAGCCACAGCTCGCACTTCACACAGCACCTGCGAATCCACAACGGTGAGAAGCCCTACAAATGCGGCGAGTGCGGCCAGGCTTTCAGCCAGAGTTCCAACCTGGTGCGCCACCAGCGGCTGCACACGGGCGAAAAGCCGTATGCGTGCAGCCAGTGCGGCAAAGCCTTCATCTGGAGCTCCGTGCTCATCGAGCACCAGCGCATCCACACGGGCGAGAAGCCCTATGAGTGCGAGGACTGCGGCAAGGCCTTCCGCGGCCGCTCGCACTTCTTCCGTCACCTGCGGACCCACACGGGCGAGAAGCCCTTCACTTGCGGAACCTGCGGCAAAGCCTTTGGCCAGAGTTCACAGCTCATCCAGCACCAGCGTGTGCACTACCGCGAGTAGCCATGGCCCCAATAAAGTCTCTGGGTGGAAAAGGAGCCGGCTGCTGCTGAGCACGACTTCCAAGCCCTGCAGGCCACTGCAGGAGGATTTCTCAATCCCGGGGTGGAAGGTGGAAGGCAGTGAGAGGACCCCAAGGCCAGGAGCAGCGCTGGCAGCCAGGGTAGTCAGGCCTGCCCAGATCAGAGAGGCTGCAGTATGGTGATTTCAGGGGGCCACTTGGAGCAGTGAATGAGGACAGGACTGGCCTGCTTAGAGGTGCCCACATTCTTCTGGGCCAAATCTGCAGCCTGGCCAGACTTCCTGGCCACAGTCGCCATGGGGGTCTCTAAGAACTGGGCTCCTTGACACAGCTGCTGCTTCCTCCTAAGTACAGCACATTCTGCCCCAATTGCCCTCAGATCTGTTTGCTCTCTCCCCCTGGCTGAGCAGCAGCAAGATCAGCAGGCTTCTGTGGGAGGCTCCCCCATCTAGTGTTCTCCATGGCCTGAGGGCACCTGCTCTGGGAAGCTGGGGTCCTGAGCTCAGGACTGCATAGGGATCACAGCGCTAGCTTGCCATGGATCTGCTCTGGGAGTGCTACAGGTAGCTCTGGCTCTCAGCCCCTGAGAAGGGAACAGCTCACCTAGGTGAGGAAAGTGAGTATTAAGCAGTGGGGGGAGTCACAGCACCCTCCCTGTTCCAGCACCTCTAGTCAGCTGGAGGGCTGCCTGGCTGCTTTCCAGGTCTCCAAGTCTGACTGCCCCTATCCTGTGAAGGACTATGAGGTTACTACTACTGGACAGGATTGGTTTGCAGCAGGGTCATCAGCCCCAAGCAAGTTGTTTTCCAAAGAAGCAGCTACTGCCACCTGCTGTGTCCCTTAATAACACATGGGATGGACTCCGTGAGGACCCTCAGTGGGTGCCCAGGCAGGACTCAGTTGGCAGTGACTAGACCTGACAGGTGACCGTGAAGCACCTGCTAAGAGAGCCCAGTTATGCTGGTGCTGCTCCAAGACCCCCAGCCACTAGTACACACCAGGAGAGGCTTCCCAGAGAAGAGGTTGCCAGCAGGCAAGGTAGCTCCTCTGTACTGAGTTCAAACCCTCAGCAAAGTCTCTGTGTTCTTTCTTATTGGCAGGACCCACCAAGATGGTACCTGTTGTCTTCCCCATGTGCTTGGCTCCTTCCCAGGGGCCAGCTTCTGTAGGATTCTCCAGTATTCCACCCAGTCCACTAGGTCCTTTCCAGGAGCTCCGAACAGCCTGACAGAATCCATACATGGACTCCTATGGACTTTCTTTTCCTTGTTTTGTCCACCTGGGCTTGTCAGCCTCTGGCCAAATAGGACACTTCATATCAACCCCCAAGTCCCCAAGAGCAGGGCATTGCAGTTGTACCATGCTCCTCCTGGCAAGGCATGCCCATCCTCCCTCATTACTTTACACTGCACGAAGCATCCTACAATGCCAGCCCCAGGCTGGCTCTGCATTGCCATCTCAAATGTCACTAGCTGCATAACTACAGTCTGACCCCACAGGTTAGGTTCTTGATTTTCAGCCTTTCTTCCCCAATGACCATGGCCTTGGTAAAGATGAGTGGTCTCCAGAAGCCAAAAATTGGCTCAACATTTGCCTAATCTGGCATTTGTTCCTCATGAAGCCTCTTTCCATCTCCGGAAAAGGGATGACACAGGCCCTATTGGTCAGGATGTAATAGTTGGAAAGGTGGCCAGTTCCATGGAAAGAGTAATTGGAATGACTCGGTCCACAGCCCAAGAAGTGGAAGAAAATATCCTGTACCTTATCAGAAGGTCACCTGTGGCTAGGTGACCACAACAAAGGAGAAAGACTACTGAGAGGAGTGGCTTGGGACCAGGAAGGGGGCGCGTGCAAATTTGTAAAACAGGAAATTACCATTTGTAACAACATATGCATTTGGCTGCAGAGGAAAAGAAACTTTACAAGGCACTGTGCCCTGAACTCTAGGGCCTTCAAGAAAGGGGTCTTTTGAGGCAGCCTCCAGAGACTAAAGGGAAGTCTGTGAGCTACCTGAACCTTGATCAGAGTGCTGTAGAACAACCCAATGCTAAGGTGTGAGGAGACAGTGACAGAGAAAAGGTAGATGGGTCCTGGATCGCACAGCATATAGTTGCTTGGCAACTTAGGTGAGTGGTCTTAAGCAGCAAGTGCAGAGGAACTGCACAGCGTAGGTCAGAAAGACGCATATTTATGAGTTAAGATGAAGGTTATTTTGTCTGGAGTGTACCTGATTTAGTTTAATATCAAAGTCAGGTACATCCTTGGAGCTAGGACCTAGCTGTCACCAAATGTAATAGGTTCACCCTTTGGTGAGTATAAAACCAATAAACATGACCAAGAGATAAAAGAATGGAGAAAAACTTATTACAACAGGGCCGGCGAGATAGCTCAGTGGACTAAAGCGCCTGTTTAGGCAAGCACAGGGACCATGGTTTGGTCCCTAGCACCACATGCCATGCCAGCCCCACCCCGAGAGTGGGCTGAGCCTGCCAGTGTCCAGGCACAGTGGCACATACCTGTAATCCCAGCCCTGGGGAGGCTGAAAGCAGGATCGCTATGAGTCCAAGCCAAATAGTGAGACCCTATAACAAAATTATTACAACAAATGAGATGCTCACAAGACAGTAATTCTCAAGGCAGTGTCTCCCTATGCAAAGGACATAAGGGGCTACTATTGGATAAACACGTTTATACTGGGGGGAAGAATCACTGCATGTTTATTCTGCTCACATGTTCATAATGGCAGCGAATTTAGTAGTATATAATAAGCAGAGTTTAGGAAAGCTAACCAGTGACTGGATTTTAGCCAAGTTCTTTTGAGGTTTTGTTTTTGTTTTTGAGGGTCATAGCTGGAAAAAAAAAAAAAAAACTTTAAAGGAGGTTTGACAGTCATTTAAAAGAGCACCTGCTCAAAGCATAGATAATTGTCCCCTAAAAATATCTACCTGGCAGCTAACAGTACCATTACAATAGTTTTGTCTACTATAATTTGTTGGGAAAACATGCCAGAAAAAAACAGTAGGGTTGCTTTAGGGCCTTCACAGGGGTTATGAGCCTGTGGATAAACAAAGGGCAAGATCCATCTTAGGTTTAGGGGGCTTTGACTTCGACATCAATGTACATGGTATGTCTCAGTGGCTAAGAGAATCAATTTCAGAACTTAAAACCCAGCTCTACTCTTTTTTTTTCCAGCTGTACTCTTAACTGTGAGATGAATGAGTTATTAATCATTGCGCTGAATCTATTTCTTCAATAGTAAGATGATGTGAGAGGGTCTTCTAGTGTCTTGAGAACCCTTAAATAGATTGAGAGTTTAGTCCCAAAGCAGTTAGCAATGCTGTCCCACTGGGAAAGGAGGCAGGCTGTCGAGGGTGTTGACAGTGTGCCTCTCACAGCACACATCCTTCACCTAGTAGGTAGTCTCATACCCAGTTGTCCCGTGTGTGACCAGGCTCCCTCGCATTAGAAACACATATGCTGGCAGACACCCTAGTGGCTTCTGTTGGATCCGTGTCTAGGTGGAAGAGGTCTGTGTCCATCCCTGACCCCTGCAGCTCCCTTCTAACCACTGAGCCCTTCCAAGCTGGTTGAAGGGTGGGTGAACTAGCCTCCCACCAAAAAGTCTCGCCCCGGGTTGGAGCAGTGCTGCCACATCTCCTGGACCACTCCTCCCACAGAGATCTTGACGGACGAAGTGGAGTCAGATTCCTCTGTCTTGCAAAGGCCCTTGTGGCCTCCATGGTCCCCTTGCTCATCCACAAGCCACCCCACCCAATGTCTGTGCAGCACCACGGACAGCTCTGGGCAGGCTGGGCTTAAGGACAGCCCTGGGATCACCCTGCACCAGAGCCTCCTAGAGCTGCTCCCCTCACCCGCCCAGGGAGTCCCCTGCGCTGGTCAAGTCCCTCAAGTCCATCCAACAAGCCAATGGATACCTCGAGCAGGTCCTCCGCGGTTCCTACAGCACCCAGAAGGGCCCATGGGGGGTGGGGCCTGGGCATGGGGCAGCACACTTCTGGTTCAGATCAGTGGAGATCTGGGTGGCCAAACATCCTGGACACACTACTGCTGTCTACCAGGACCGGCCTCTGTCGCTGGGGTCTTGCTTTTCGGTCCCTGGTTTCTCCCCAGCCCGCGGAGCAGTCTGCTGGCGAATGTCTCACCTCTAGCGCAGCATTCGCACTGACTTTTCTGCAAACTATGCCCACCGTAATTCAAGAAGAAAAGTCCCTGGAAAGGCTGAGTGGCCCTCTGCCTGAAGTCTCTTCGGGAAGTGTCACAACAGACCCTGTTAAATCTGGGCCTTATCTGAACACAGCATTGTACTCTCTGATTCTCTGGAGGATCTAGGTTCTCAGGAATGATAGCGAACCTATTAAAGCTTTCAACGATAAAGCTTTAATGCTGCAAGTATGCCTTACGTTTGCCACCAGGAAGCTCTAAGCATGGCCCACATCTACAAAGATGGATTTCTGTACCTCAGCCTGTCTTGAGTTTCAGAAAGTATTCATCCCAGCAATAGCAGTTGTAGCCCCTACAATGACCCTGTCTCCTACTTCAACTGTGAAAAGGACAGGAACGTGGCCGGGCTCTTTTTCGGTAGCCAAGATTCAAGAGCTGGTTCTTCTTTCTGGAGCCTTGTTCGTTGTCTCGTGGGCTATAAGTTCTGCTCCTCATATCTCCGTTGTTCCAGGCAGCTTTCTTAGGCTCTGCCACCTCCACCCACACCCACACCCTCTGCCCTCCTGTGGGTGTGGGATACCTGGCCAGGCCCCAGATTCTTCTTTTCAGAAGAAAATTGAAGTTAAGTCCTTAAAGAGCACATATTTGTAACAGATTTCTCCCTCTTTTTTTTTTTTTATGTATTTAGTACAAAGTCTACAGGGTCCCACTACACAGATCAGGCTGGTAGTGAGCCTTCTGTTTTCAGCCTCCAAGTACTGGGATTACACGCGTCAACAGGCCCAGTCTTAATTGCCAGCTCAGCGTACCATGCTTCCAGCACAGCATGCCAGGTATCAAACCCCTGTCCCTGCGCTAACAGATTTCTTTTTCAATAAGAACATTTTTTTTTCTCATCATCTATGAAGGAGGGTTTACCCACATTTTCAGTCAATTCTTGCATTAAAAACAAATGGACAGTGAGTATGGTAGCACACACCTGTGATCCCAGCACCCGAGAGGCTGAGGCAAGAGGATCACTGTGAGTTTGAAGCAAGCCTGGACTACATAGTGAGGTGAAGTCTTGCCTGAACTAAGTGGTGAGATCCAGCTACTCAGCAGGCTGAGGCAGGAGGATTACAAGTTCCAGGCCAGCCTGGACAACTTATCAAGATCTTGCTTCAAAGGAAGAAAGAGCTGGAGATGTAGTTCAGTGGTAGAGTACCCCTGGGTTCAAACCTAGCCCTAGGGGAAAAAAAAAAAGAAGAAGGAGACTCAGGGTTTAACTTGTCCCTAAAATAGCCTGTCCCCGGCTCCCAGATTTGTCATCTCCCACCACACGAGTGGCTCTGATGAGGGACTGAGGCATGGTAAAGTCCCACCCACAGTTGTACCAAGGGCTCAGGCACTAAGGCCTGTGTGTTTTCCCATTGTTCTCTGTGTGCTCTCAGTTTACTGTGATCCTAAGTGGATACGGTTTTCCAGAGAAGATTCCAGGTGGGAATCAGACAAGCAGAGGGCTCTGCAGCACCTCCAGCCACCCCGTCAGTGCCTGCGGAGCACCTGTACACGCTTCAGCTGCCCACTCAGGAGAGCTGTCCCGTGTCATGGCTGGTGGAGTCCAGCCAGCTCATTGTGTAGCAGGCTGACTGCAGTGTGCCTCATGCAGTGCAGTGCAGCTGCTTCAGCCGAGGCCTCAGGGTCCGAAGGACACTTCACAGAGCCTGGCTGCGTGGGTCACCTTCAGCAGAGTTCCACAGGTCACATCTGTTGTCTGCTTGCTCACTAATCAACACACCTGCCAAGCCACACACATGATGAGATGGCAAGCAGAGTCCCCAGCAGCCCGAAGATAGCTCCCCTTGGCTGGAGGCGGGTGGGTAACATGCGTGGGAACTCATGAGCATATGATTTACCGTGGGTGACCTCCAGCCGTGTCTTGGGTTTCAGGCAGTCACTGACCTACAGTAGGACAGAACGCAGGCTGGAGTCTTCCTGTCTGCCCTGCTGCTCTAACAGCGTCCCTCCCGCTGCGTCTCCATGGTCCTGTCTGCGGTGGGTGTCACATAAATGAATCAGGATATGTGCGCCACTTTGTGTGTGACTTGCTCAGTGCTGTGCCTTGAGGTTAGTCCTCTGTGACTGAGTGCTCCCAGGGGGTTCTCTCTTGGTGGGTGTGATCTCAATGTACAGCCCCAGACTCACAGCCAGGAAATTGTATCTCATTCTGCATATGCAAGGCTGGGCTGCCTCGTTGTCCCTTTGCAACAAAAGACCCAACTAAAAGTATCGACTCATCGTTCTCTGCCCATCTGCATCTTTTCTGCTGGTGGTTCTGTTCTTTTCCTACATTGTGTTATAAACTTTCTTCAATCCATCTAACTCACCTTTCAGTTGTATTAATTCTGGGACTTATTGCTTCTAGTGTGGCTCTCACCCCTGAAAATGCCTTTTGTTCTTACAGGAATTGTGAGGAACAAACCCTCCTCACCTTTGATCATGTGCAACAGACAGATCAAACCGAGGACCAGGAATAGCGAAAACAAGATTTTTTTTTTCAGTCTTACGAGAAAGGGTGCCAGCCTAAGAAACACACTAACACACCCAGGAGCAGTTACAAAGAGCAGTCTAAACCCCAGCCTGCAGCAGTGCCTACTCCCTGTTCCCTTCCCCCTTCCTTCATTGGCCAGTACTCTGGGTGCCTACGTACTTGCCCAGCTCCCTGTGTAAATATTTTGTGAGTTTCAAAAGAAAATGATTAAACTACAGGGACTAACTTCTTAGTGGCTGGTACTTTTTTTTAGTCAGAGTTAGCATAGTGAATGTCATACTTTATTGACTATCTACCCCTTCTTCCTTTGTTTAGAGACCTGTTCTAACCTAACTTTGGTCACCTTCTCAGGCAAGTAGTTTTTCACTCAGAGTTAGAGACTTTAGCCTGAAGATAGACCTTTTTGTTGTTGTTTTTGTTGTTCCTTTACAGGAATAGACACAAATTGTCAAAGCATTTTCTTTGTTCAACAGAAATGCTTTAAGGAGGGCCGGGGAGATGGCTCAGTAGAATAAGTGCTTGCCTGGCAAGTGCAAAGGCCTGAGTTCAATCCCCGGTTCCACCCAAAAAAAAAAAAAAATGCTTTAAGGAAGGCTAAGAAGTTACATGGAGTGGGGCATGGTGGCACACACCTGTAGTCCCAGCACTTGGGGGGATGAGGCAGGCTCACCGTCAGCTAGAGGCC